CACGTTTAATAATTACAATATTATTATTATTACGCTCGCCAACCGCAGTAATATAAAGGCCGCGTAGTGTACATATTATAATATCCGTATAATATAGGTACAAAGCGGTAATATTTATGGTAATTCGAGTATTGGCGTATTATATTTTATTATATCGAAACTCGTAAAATAGAAATACCGATGCGCGGCCAACACACGCTGCAGACTGCAGAGCAGCAGTTTGCATATTGTATATCTGATGAAACTCCGCATCGTAAACATTAAGATGATCGTATACTATAATATAATATACTATCCAGAGGCGTATTTCCTGAGGGGGGGGGAGGGAGGGAGGAAGCGATGGGGGATAGATCCTCCCCTTGACCTTTTTTCTTTAGAAATTTATGCGATTATCATTGCATACAGGTAACTATATACCGGAAAGTAGGTAGAAACTATGTTAGATAAAGTTATCATCGAACGACACTATATACTATTATGTACATAGTATATAAAAAAAGGCCGATACTCTTAATGGGTGTGCCGAAATTTCAGGAGGGAAATTGAACGGGGGAATATATTATAGTGTAATTCAATTTATAACTGTAAGCAACGATAAATCATTGCTAACGAAAAAACGATATTATTATTCGTACTTTTTTTCCTTGTTCCTTGCCAGTTTTTCAAATTCGTTCAGAAAACTACAATGCAAATAATAACAATAAAAAAAAAAATATCTCAATAAAATTGTGGATCAGAACTAGATTTCTGATACAAACAATACGTTTTAAGTTACAAAATTATACATCATTGTAAAACAGAGCTGATAGATTTTTTGGGAAAAACTTTGACATCTAGTGAAATCTGCAGATTATAAAGCTAATTTGTTTTCGAAAAGGGTAAAAGGGTTATGCAAACGCAAACGGTTCTGTCGAATCGATCGGAAGGTGAATTGGTACGCGGACGAAACTATTCTTTTGGACTCCGATCAAGAGGATATTATTGTATTTTCGAAACATGTGTCTCGCTCGACTGAACGAAGAAAACGACTCCGAGGTCTTTACGAACTTCACGGCTCGGAGAAAAGAATGAAACGTAAAAAAATAATAATAAAACGATTCGCCGTGAGCAAAAATACTGTCTGCATTCGACAATTCGATTATATATGCGGTATGAGTATATTATATTATAATATTGTTCTACACCGAGCACGTTTTAAAAACGGTTTATTCTTTTTTTAATAAAACAAATTCCATCTAAAAACAAGCGAACGGTTCGTAATTGTATTTTTATAAATACCACCTGCAGCACCAACGACAAAAACGTCATTGTAATAATTCTATTTTTCGATAATAAATTTCCTAGATATGCGTACTTACACGTGTCATTCGACATGATCCGAAAACTCGAAATCCGTTTAAAATATATTATTTTGGCCAAAGAACCCATTCACAGACAACAACAACATAATTTATGTGGGTAAATTATTTATTTATTTTTTTTTTGAAATATAAATTATCTAACGGTCGTTTTAGACATACATACAATTATTATTATTTTTATTATTAACCGGCGCAGTATAAACATAGATAATTGAAACCCGGAAATCACCAAATGAGATCATTATATTTTCGCAATCTAGAACTGATAACAATTGAAGCCATAAATATACAAGTATGTTCTGTCTATGTTTTTTTTAAGTATATGTTCATACATATACTGTGCGGTGAGAACATACAACAATGATTTTGAGTGGTTATCGTTTTAATAACTGCAGTAGGTAATCAATTCATTGTTATCTATTAAATAATTTTTAGATGTCAATAATCGTTGATAAGAAACTAGGTAATAATGCAATGAAAACGGGCTTATCAACATATAACTGATAAAGATTTTTAAGATAAAACTTCAACTATAGTCATATTTTACCATTCTGGTAACCAGTATATTGGTAGTATTCTCTTCAGGCGCACTTTATCCGTCCATCTGTCGTAAAGATAGTCTCTTTGGTATCCATAGATTTAGTATAATATAAGTCATTACACTAGTTGGCTCGGTAGGTGTAATATATTATTATCACATAGCTTGGAGGTTTGGTGTGTGAGACCGTTGCGGACCTAATAAATTATGAAGCGATGACATTTTTACGGTTTTGTTATTTTAATTTGTTGTTAGAAGATAGGTACCTGTATAAATAGCGAACCCCGGTAATATAAGGTAAAAAGTAATAAAATCGTAAATAAATCTACTTTCGTTTATATTATTATTCTAGCGAATTTCCGCTGCTTATTGTTTTCCAACACGCTTTCCACGCAATCCACCCGCCGCCGCTGCCACAAAGAACTTTTATGTACCCGTGAAGGGAAGGGTTGGAGGGAAGAAAACAAAGGGGAAATACGGTATGAATACAATCTTCCTGTAATACTCTAGGGGTAACATAGAGCGGATAGCGGATAGCTTAAACGGACGGTCCGTCGACGCGTTTTGCCGAGTAATTATTCGACAAGATTAATCAAACGAGGTAGACCCCGCCGACCGGTTTGGACATATTATATTATACTTTTAACGACAGATAGTTTTGCGATAAAATCCGCTTACAAGTATGCACCTAAGATTGGATACCGCGGTATTATCTTCTGTCGATATCAACGAGATATTAATATTGTAATAATGACGGGCAATAAGTTAAGGAGCCGTGTACGGCGTGTATACCCACCTACACGAGAGAGGTGCACGTGCATAAACGGTTAACACGAAATCGCACCGCACGTGATGATGTCATAATATTGTAATATTATGTTCTCCCCGGGTTTCGAAAAACTTTCGAGATTTTATAATTTACGAGAGATAAATAATAGAACACATAGAACGTCGGTCGCGCCGTCGCCGCCGACCGTGCGCAATTATAATACATAATTTCTTTTCAATAAATATCGTAAAAAAATAATATCGTTTTTAACATTGTTAATCTGTCGTTTTATAGAATACAATAATAATGTACACAGGTTAAATAAATCCTTTGGATTCGTAAATGCCGAGAATTTTCCAACGAGCTAACGACTGGCGATCATAATACGGTACTCGCTGTCATATTTCGACGAATAATAGGCACACGCGCAGATATACGGATTCTGTCCGTCCAAAACCAAATAAAAATTAAACAATTTCAAATGTTCTCGAACAGAAGAATAACGAATTTTAATAAACCAACGTTTACCATGTTTGGAAAAGAGATAATATTAAAGGATTCTGTTAACATTTTAGGTCTCTACGATTGTCTACCAAACTGTTACTGCGTACATTTTACCGTTTTCCTACGCTCCTCCTTTTTATTTTTAAAAGAACTACAAGAAAAATCAATAAATAATCTCACCAAAGCACTAGATTAGTAATCGAAGCAAAAATTCTGATAAAATGTTATTTAGACGGGGGGGAATAAAAAAACAAATAAATCATAGTAAAACCAATATATTCCTTTTTACGTTCGGAATCTAAAATAATTTGCACAGTCTATTCTAATTAAAAGAAAAAGAAAAAAAAATGGAAATACATATTCTAGCGTACTTAATCAGGAAAAAATATAGTACTTTTGATGAGTAAAATATATGTAAAATACTTTATGTATCATATCATTTGTTGCATAACACCTCTTAACATATAAATCACATAAAAATGATAATCAGGAACTTGCAAACAATCTGAAAAATAATTTTAAAAAAGATATAAACATATTTCGTACGATGAGTTGCAGGTGAGAAGTTGAGAAGGTAGAATATAGAGAGGAATTTAATGCATATCTGTACATTTACATTAATATTTAATAACGAAAAACGATTCTAAGCAGAGTTCGGTTATACATGTTTTAAAATAATACATTTCGTAAATTTTCCCGTTTTTCCTGTTTTATCCAGGTTTGTTCCATTTATTATAAAAACTCCCAGGAAAATCAAAAAATATCCTCTTAAATGCACCACCAATCAGATTTCCTTTCAGAAAAAGTGACAACATTTCTGATAGAAAGGTTGTTCACAAATAAAAGATAAAAATTAAAAAATAAATATAATTGTAAAACCTATACAAAATATAACTTGTTTTTCTCCTACGACATGACATGGGATTAAAAAAAAAAATTAGATTTTATGATCAAATCATATCACCGGTATAGCAACATAACCGAATTGTTAGGAAAATATGAACACATTAAATGATGTAAACTATCAGTGCAAGTTTAAAGTGTCTCGGACAAAATTTAATAACTACGTACTAAGTGGATTAAAATATGAGTAGGTACACCGCAGCTTCTGTCGATCGGGTTGGTTGTTTTTTTATAATGGTTGAAAAAAAAATGACAATGATACTATACGAGCGCATCGTCGGCTTCGAGACTAAACCTCGAAATAATAGTTCACAGGAGAAACGAAAACTGTGGCGGGCATCAAAGTTCAATAATGTCAACATTATTTATTTTAACCGTTGGAATATAATATCGTCTATTTGATTTTATTCTCAAAAAAATATATAAGTATTTTTTCAATTTTTTCACAGAGTTCGAATTTTTTGGAAAACTCGACGAGGTTTTAGCTCGTTTATACTCATCGATTCATAATCGACCGGACGGGGCGGCGGCGGTGATAAAACAATTCAACAGATAAGGGGGGGAGGGTTGGAACAGGCGAATAGGGAGGGGGGCCATTAGTCTACTCGTCGTATCACGCGTATATAATATTTTAATAATATTATAATATATTATATATAGATCTTATCTCGGGCGGTAGCCTCCGGAGTTATTATTCTTGAACCGGGGTCTCGATAATAACCACTGCGAGTATACATTTATATATGTAGGCAGGTAGGTCGGTACGTGTCCCGATGCATAAATTCGTACGTATACAGGTATTTATAATATACTTACAAAATACGCGTGTTATACGAATATTATATTATACTAAATGACGCCCGATCGATCGTATCTTTGGGTGTATAAAGTTTTTTTTTTTGTCTCCCCCCTCCTCCCGTTAACGCGAACTTCCAGACGAACGGGCCGACAAATGAGTTTTGGCTACTACGTATTATTACTACGGGCACTGCCTCGTATACCTGTCGACCAGTGTACGGTTTTCACCTCCGGATAAACTCTACAAACAAATTGTTTCTCGTACCTAAACATTATAATCTGACGTTTTTGATCAGCGCGATGGAAAAAAATTCCGTACATTATACAGTTTGAGTATACCTTTACTGCGGGTACAAAACAACGGTTGCCTTTCGCGATTTCTTTTTCTTGTTATTAATATAATAAACGTTAAATACAATATATAATTAACGCGAATAAAATTAACATTTTTCGCGAAAACTGCAATGAATATAACCGCGCTCCTATAGACATAGGATCGGATGCATCGCGGCATCCGCCAGTTGCAACAGCTTAAAATGTTAGCCGGAGGAGTTTTGGGCAGGGTTATCGGAACACGGTAATGGAAATCAAAAGTTGACACGTACAGCGTGTTTCTCTCTACAGCTTTCAACCCGAGGATTGAAATATCGTTTTCGTGTTTTCTATTGTCGGCTTTCCATTCCCGTGACTTTTTAGTATGAACTGGTATTCTCAATCTCCTGTTATAATATTTGATTTATGCACACTGTTTAATCGTGGTCTTCCACGGTAGGTTTTACTGTCTAATTTTAACTCATTTTTCGCATCCTATAACATCACATTTCGAAAGCCTCAATTCTTTTTGCAATAGTCCACGTTTCATGTCCATGTTGAAGATGTACACACGGTATTATTGGGTAGTTTCTTATAAGACTAAGATTTTTTCAAATAAAAATACTTCTATTTTGGTTTAACACCTGGCATATTATCGATATTATTGTAGTCGATTTTTAATTTTAATATATATGCAGTGCTTATCTGAGGTCTTTTCTATATAATCGTATTTCTTTTTAAATGTATTTATACCAGTATGTTATTTTTTCTATTACAGACTAGAATTTTCTTCTTCATTGCGTTTATTTGCATGTTCAGTTCACTATTCGAAATATAATCTTTCATTTGTGTCTAGTATCTGTTTTGAGTCCTTTTCGTTCGTTTGCAAATTAAAAACTGACATGGCGTATTTACGATATGTATTTTACGAAATAAGGATAAAATGTAAAAAAAAAAAAAAATCTAACTTCATTACAGAAACCCGCTGTTCTGTGAAAATATACCCATTGCAATATCTCTGGAGACATTAAATATAGTCAAATTCCGTTATTTTTTTCATATAAGACTTACAGAAATAAGGACTACAAATATTTATGTTTCAGTAAAAAACTGAAAAAAATGTTGAAGAAATACTTATTGATTTTTTAAAGTTTAGAGATAAAAAGTGTACAGTCAATATGCAATAATGATAATAATTAATTAGCGAATGCGATCATAGCTTGCTGCAAATAACTATAACTATAACTTATAGGTACTTTTCTCTGAACTTAAAAAAAAATATAAAAAAATCAAGATTTTAATGAAAATAAATAATAAGTTGAAATGTTAACATTTTGAGAAAAATAAACTCTATAAAATAGCCGTATTCAAATTTTTGGAAAATAATAAAATAAAAAGTTTTTTTTTAAATTGTTCTACCGAAACGTACGAATTTAATTAAATTATAAATATTTGTAGTTCTTATTCCCGCGAGTAATATGAAAAAAAAATAAAACAGAATTTAATTTTCTTTATTATCTCAGGATATATTGCAATGGATATATTATCTGCGTGAGACACCTTGTACGCAATACAATTTTATTACAGAAACTGAATAAATTTTATTCACCGTTTATCAATCGCATATACCTAAGTCACGATAAAAAACGTAATTGAAAAAGACCAGAATTTATCGCGTCAATTTTATTGAAACTTAAATAAATGTCACCTTCATCGGGCAAACTATAATTGTATGTATAGTGTATGGAAACGGAAATATTTCGAGTTGAGAAAATTGTATTTATTCGTTTTTATTATAGATTAATTATGTAGGTAGCACACATTTTAATTGTTGCTATGAACAAGAAAATTGCCAAGATATCAATAGTTCACTATGTACAGTATTTATTTTGCATTTCGACTGATCGAAACTATGCATTTGTCTTGTTTATTACGTATTATTGAAGAACCATCGGGAATCCAGTAAAACCCGTCTCTGTACAAACGTGTAAAAATCTAATTTTTTTTTTAAGGTAAGAAGTGAAAATGTTTTTTTTTCGAGCCAAGTCTTGGTGATCTAAAATTCTTTGATGCATTTAGAATCTAAACACGAAAACCGAACTGTGAAATCCGAATTTGAATTTTAGGACTATTCAGATTTATATTACGTTTTCATAGTTGTACTAATGTCATATACCGTTTGAGTTGTGGTATTCTGTTTAACGTTTTTGCATTTGTTAAAATTAAAATAATGTCATATTATATTAGAATATGATGCGAAAAAACATTGGATATTTATGCGATTTATGCGTTCACTTTGCGATCATAAATCACAATGATAAAATACAATTCGATAGATATTCCCGAGGATATTCTTGACAAAAACCAAACAATCACTCAACTATAATCATCGTTTATAACTTAACGTTATAACGCAATATTACTAAAATAATTTCATATTTTATATTTTAAAAAATGCTGACAAATAAATTCGAGGTCATCGTATTATTATGTTTTTAGTTTTTAAATAAAAATAAATATCATTATAAAGGGTATAAAATCTGGTTTAGGTGGTGTAGATGAAATATCGTGGTTTTTTTTTTTACTTAATAAAATATACATTTTGAACCGTTCTCGAATTTGTATTAATACTTATGAACTCGAAGTTTATGTTAATTTTGAATTTATATCGAAAAGGATTTATCATAAACAAACAAGTTATAGGTACATTGCGATAGAAAATATGATGTTAACCAAGCGCGGTAATGTATACCTACGGACAAGTTCTCTATGGATATAAAAAATTTCCTTAGGCAGGAATAAGAAAAAAAAAAAACACGCGAATAAGAAACATTAAATATTTTTTTTTGTAAGAGTTTGAGTATACTCGTGGCCCATTACAGTTTTGTATTAGTCGAGTTTTCGTTTGATCACTAAATTTTGATTACACTAAGTATCTACCTATATGTTTTAAGAGACCGGAACGGAGGCGGCGGCGGCGGTGGGCCGTCAGATTTGTGGGCACAGATATTGTCAGTCCATTGTTTTTCCCCGTTGCAGATCGTATCTCAGACGTTGCGTGTAACATACTCGTATTGTAATAAAATAACGAAAAATTGTTGCTGTATCGCGAATAATGAAGCCCAACAATTTCACGGACACGTCGGCGTCGCGAGCTTGATTACTGCTAAAAAATATATACGTATACTTCACGAAATCCTTTCATTCCTACAACTTAATCGTCCAGGTGGCGATCCAAATTGATTAAGCTATAATGTAACCGTTATACCGTAATACCGTCTTGAAAACATACAAATTCCCGTGATCTGTCCGAACGTGGTTTTCGTACAAAAATCGAGGGATATTTTCAGGAAAAATCCAAAATGCTACAGTTGAAAAACGAAACGATAACCGAAGTTATCATCGATTCGTATATATAGAAATCGATATAAATAGTAATTTCAACTTTTAAAATAGCTGGTAATATTATTGTTTTAAGGTTATGATTTTTATTTTTACTTATTTTACACTCTGTGATCACATTATCTCAAAAACAACCGGGGTTTTTAAACAATAAAATAATCCAGTAAAACGTCGAGTATCATAACCATTTAAAATTATGTTAACGTGGAGATGATATAAAACCTTGGATACGGACCGACCGTATTTTTCACCGTAATTTTTCCGAAAGAAAACGTGTAAATCACGATATTTGGAAAAGTCGTCTCACACAAAATATGACTATCGGATTCCTACAGGTCTATGCATAATATCTGCAGACATAATATAAGCATGTTTACGATTTTACATGACTGCTTTTTCGTGTTTACGGCCTGTAACAATCCACGACAACTTTATAATACCGGAACACGCGATGAATACGACACTAATAACAATAATCGGTGTATACGCACGTCATCGGATCTGCCCCCATCTCGGTAGAATTCACCAGAGACTACGATGAGTGTAACGGTGGCTGTTACATAACGGATATCGGATGGACAAAATAAATACCTACAATCTACGTACTCAGAAAAAAAAAAACAACTAACTAGTGATATTATAATAACATCACTAATAATAATTTATGGCTTAATTGTGGCCATCGCGCGTATCCGACCATCGTCGTCGACCAAAGTGTTTTATTACACGATTTTTTTTTTTTTTATCGTTTCCGAATCTATATTTATTTTTTATACATAATATCCCCCTCTATTGTAGCCCATATACGGTTTTTATTATGTTAATAAATCATGTTAAGTGAAATGCTATTCGAACGCTGCAGCTACGAGCGGCGGCCGAGAGTCGAATCACGCGCGTCGTTAGCAACTCTACTGTAGCTACATATATAGAGGATGTGGATCGCGATTAAAACTATTATTTTTCCCTTCAACCAACACGCGTCCATTATAATATTATAATCGTAGGCATTTTGCACAGCTAATAATATAGATTTTGTATTTATATTTTTTTTTTTTTTTTTGCCTCTGGACACCCAGGGGCGGACAAGCCATTCGCGGCGTACCGGGCAATATTAAAAATGGTCCTCACTCACGGTTTATTGAAAAAAAGCTATTTTATTTTTTATACTTCTACGTTTAAATATCATATTCAATAGGTTTATAATATAAAATCTATTAAAAAAAACAAATTGTATAAGCTCGATAATATATTCGACATTTTAAAATAATCATATACGTTATCAATAACAATGATAATAATCCTACCATGTTAATTATATTTTCGAGAATTATTATTGTTAAAAAGTCTTGTCCGACTTCATTAAAAATAAACTCTGTAATAAATGTCGACTTGATGTATTTCATAAATAATTTTCAACATGTTTTTATTTAGAAAAAGTATCTTCGCATTCAACCCGAGGAACGGATAATATAAACATACATTTATATGCAAAGCAAAGGCATACGTATTTGCATAAAATTTGTATTTAAAATGGATTTAGTATTAATATAACATTAATACGTTTATAGCTATATATTACTTACTGCCCGAAGCTCACTATATAAAACTGAATTTAATATCTTTTTTATGTGATAATAATATTATACTCGTATACGATGTAATTCATATTTCATACAATATATTTAATCGTAAAACGATGAGAAATGACTCAATATGAATGGGAGCCTCCGGGAAAATCCCGATTTCCGAGTGGACCTATTCGTGACGAGCGTCCATAAGGTAGTTTTCAGGGGAAGGAGAGGTACAAATTGAAACCAGTTTGCCAAACGTGCGTTTGGCGTTGTGCGTTTTTTATATTAATACGCAGGTAAAGTGCATGATGAAAATCTGAACACGAGATCCGTAGAAAAAGTTATAATTATCGCGGTCCATTGCGAGAGAATGAATCAACGATTATCTAGGCTGTGCGTTGTGCGTCAAGGGACAAGAAGTCGTATTTTGTATTTTTTAAATATTTTCCAAGTTGGGACATGTCCATCTTCATAATTAAACGTTGAATGCATTATGTATAATATTTTGTACACTGCGGGTATCTCCGATTCACTATAGATATCCGAATAATTCCCGATAATAATATATAGCCATACAGATGTACCAGGTATGGCCTCTAAACATGTTACTCCGGTTCGGCGGTTTAAATAAAATCCACTTTTCAAACACTGCCGCGTTATACGAGAGAAAACTTATATACGGTTTCGTGACAATTGTACAAATTATTGTTTCAATAGAACTCCGTAGATTCAAACGGGAAAACTATATTTTAGGATTTTTATATAATCAATATGCCTAAAAGGAACGATAAAACCGAAATCGTCGTACTCCTCCTAGAAAAAAAAAAATAAATAAATAAATAAATATATAAACCGATAGTAGAATTTCAGACGATAAAACCAATATTTTGAAATATTCTTCTGCACGGACGAGTATATGTTATACACTATATCGTTCGGGGTTGGCTCGTTTCGGAGGGTTGGGTTTGAGACGGTAAATTTATTATGAATTCGAGCACTTCCGAACGCCCACACACACAAATAAAAAAATGCATTTACAGGACACTGTATGATACTCGTTGACATTAAATTTTCGCGATGATATACATTATACACACGCGGCGTTTTTAAAAGCTCGCTGCATGTAAACCATCGACGCGCGAGGTTTTTTGTAAACAAAACCATAAAGTTTGCGGTCGGGAAACAAAAAAAAAAAAAAAAAAAAAAAAAATGATGGAAAACATAAAGAGCCAAAGACGTACGAAAAGATGGGAGGAGGGTAGTGAATATAAAAGAAAAAGTTAGTCAAGTGATTTTGTGTGTGCAATACAGCCACGAGTATATAGGAAATATGGAAAGTTTTGAGGCGACTGCTTTTGACGTCATTGTCGGTGTAAACTAACTGTTCCAAACACATTCGAGAAAATTCAAAAGATTTTCATTTTTATTTAATTTTTTTTTTTTCTTGGCTTTCACACCGCACACATTGTTTGCACTCAACGTGTTTCCTGACCATGACGCACCGCACCCTCGGTTTTTTTCACCGATACCGTAGTACTGTGTAGTTATATGTGTGGTTAGAACGGTTTGTCGGGGAAAAACTTTCAACGTTCGCGAGCTCGTTGCTTTCGCGTAGAGTATCGGAATATAATAAAAATAACGTCACCGCAAACGACACCCGTCGAAAATGTTAAGATTTAACGATAATAATTTTGTTCATCCGAGCGTGGTAAAAGGTAGTCGGTCAATTATACAGATATTCTCGTACTATTATACATTTATATATACTGGATATTGAACGTTATGGAATGGCGAAAATGGAGAAATATTATATTACATGACACTAGTCGCCATTGTGATTATTGCGCTTCAGTAGTTTCTTTCGGAAAAAAAATAACGCAAAACGCGCGGCGATAGTTGTGGTGATGTGCTGCAATATAACCATCACCAGTAATGTAACAATAAATGCACATTCTCCGTTTGTACGCTCCCGAAAATCGCAAGTACACGATAATTACATTTTTTAAGCGCGTAGAAAACGTTTTTCGCGGCCTCCAATACGATATAAAAATTATAATTTTCAAGAGACTGACACACTTCGAACCAATTATATGGGTGTAGATAGGTTTAAATGGGAAGTCCGGAGACTATTGGATATGGTCTGGTATGTGAAGATAATTTAATTTACATACTAAAAGTGACGGCAGAATAAAAAAGAAACGATTCTGAATGGAGCTCAGCAGTGGCGGATTCAAGGTTAGGTTGGATTGAAATCTTTCTATTAGGTTTTTTTTTTCTTAACAAAAAGCAATAGTTTTCTTATAATTTAAAGATCTATCTGATAAATACCAAACAATATATAAGTACAACGTAATTATGTTCATATATCAATATTAAGTTATATATGTAGTTGTTTACAGCCATATAAAACATATTCAATAACATTTCCAATTCTGAGTGAAAAGTTTTTTTTTTACATTGCATCAGCTTTGTCGAAAAATTAGAATTCCGTAACCTTTTCAAAACGACATTTTAGTATTCAACGAGGTGCTTTAGGATTATCGGAATTACAATCTCGGTTCACGTGTGCGATTTATATTCGCTGTGAGATATATCTATAATACAAATAAAAAAATAAAATAATACGTTAAAAGCGTTCGGTATAGAATTGGAAATTTATGAACGGTTCCGTTAACGCCGCAAGAATAAACAAGAATATTTATGTACCTAGACGGGCAAATGTTTCAAAAACTTTATCGTAAAAATATTGTTCAGTATAGATATCGATATAATACTGTCTATACATGGTATCAACCTACACGTCCATTAGGTTTAATCAAAATATTTATATTTATCAAAACGGATACACTATTATGGTTTATTATAATAGCAAGACCTTATTGATAAAGGCCGTTAACTTGGTAATTTTTTATTATAATATTATTCCGGTTATGGCAATCAAAATGAATGACTATTGTTAATGGCAAAATAAGTTGTTGAAACGGTCGGTCACTGTGTATTATTATGAAAATACGTAATAAATGTGTGGATAAATGAATAATTGCACTACTGTGGATTCACGATTATTTCTCATTGAATCATAAACAAAAAAATGGAATATAATTCGGAGTAAATATTCTTTTTTTTTTATTGCCGTTTTTATGAGAAAAATTATAAGAAATTTCAAAAAAAAAATAACTACCACCAATGAACAGACTAAATCCAAAATACTAAAAAAAAAAAAACACCGAAGATTCAGATTGGAGCAATTCTTAAGAGTATATGTTCCGCTCAGAATTTACGAAATATTAGTGTTTTTAGATAAATCCTTATTTTATGTTACAACTCGATCCTAATTTGTAATGATATTTGCGTTAAACGATTAACAATTAAAATGTTAGTTTTAACATGCAATATTTTATTACGTTTCCACAGCTGTTATCAAAACTAAGTAAAATAATATTACCTTATTAATAATACTTTTATTTGATCAATAGTTTGACCTTGTTAGAAATATCAATAACCACTAGAAAATAAACTAAATCACTAAATAATAAAACCTACCTATGATTAAACACGAAATATTTGAAAAAAAAAAAGAAAATATTAGTATATACAGTTAGCTGCATACCAATTATGATATGTTTTAAGAATAGATTATGTTATAATGTTCCAAACGCATTTTTACTGTTCGTTTTTATATTAATAAAAGAAAAAAAATTCAACCGTGTATCTAAAACAATAATAATATAACATTTATTAAATGTATTAAATTGCAAATTTAGATGGTTAAAATTATTTTACAATAATTATGAATAAATGATTTAAACCATTTTTAAATGTTCGAAACTCTTGTAAATAGTTTTAGCATTTCATTTGTATAAAAAAAAAAAATATGTATTTCAAAGGTAGAAAAAAATAAGATAAATATTTGTCTATCTATAGAAATACTTACTATGGGTTCACTTTGTTACACAGATATTTTTAAATCTGGTAATAACCAGAAGTTTAGAACCATTCTCGAATTTTCGTA